AATATATATTTATGTATATATATTTACAAATCTACATGCATACATACATACATACCTACATATAGTATATATATATATATATATATATCTTCATAAATATACGTATACATATATATATATATATATATACAAATCTACATGCATGCATACATACATACATGCATACCTACATATGTAAATATGTATACATATATAGGTACATAATAGATAATAATTATATATATATATACGTGTATCTATGTTTATATATGTGTATATTTATTGTTCATTCGTATATTTTAATACGTATACGGCTTTCATGAAATGTTTTACATATATCTGTTTTCGCTTTAACACTTGTGTGCGATTTTTCAACTATGTTTTTTTTCCAACATCGACATCACCAAATAGAAGTACTAAGAACTGGAAAATGGTTCCATATTTTTCAGCACCAAGTTATCTGAGTACTTGTAGCTGTGTGCATATTCACACTGATTCTAACGATATTTTTTGTGTACTATCTAGGAACACAATGTCTGTATGTATTTTTGTTGACGCGAGTATTTCTATATATTTAGATGTTCCGTATATACAGCATATTATTTCCTTGATAAGAATTTAGTGCGCTTTGTTTAGTATTCTTTATGGTTGCATGTCGTTGCATAAATGGACATGTGTCACGTACACATAACACCCTGCCATTGTCGCTCAACTAGTCCGTGTTTTGAACGATCCTGTCTCGCCTTAGCGCGCAGACAATGTAGCTATATATGACGGTCAGGTATCGCTCACTACCTGGCAAGGCATCACCTTCAGCAAGGTGCATTTCATTCTGCTCGTTCATAGATATATGAACCCGCTCATTGTGCACTGCTCCATATTTTTACCTGCACATATCCAGGCGAATACAGATATTCTAGTAGGCGTCAAGGTCGATCTTGGAGAGCCAGACCACGGTAAACCAAACGATGGAGTGGTCCACTTCTCCGTAGATTGGTGTGTTCTTGTTCTATGGCCCTATCGATTAGCGAGTTAGCGACGAGAATATACCTACACATAACCCATTGACCTCTTTTATGTATCAAAAATGCGGAATAATAATGCAAGGTCATATTCTGTCCGCGCGAAATAGGGGACATTTTGCCGAATTCACTCTAGTACGGAATACAAAATTTTAGAATCATAGTGGGAAGTGCAAGTCTGTACATATAAGGTCTACTATTGAGTTGCGTGGTGTATATTCCCTTATACTTTTTCTCACTCGCTACTGTCGGACAATTGCATGCCTTAGTGTACGGCCAGGCATTCATTTTACCTACTGATTACCTGCCAATTCTCCTTCACACAGTTCTGCGAGCGCGTCACCCTTATTCGAGGGTCGAGGAGGGGAAGTACTTTCCACGGAACTTAAAATGTCGTTGGATAGGTTAATAGTGAAGTCAAAGGCCTTCAACACGGCCTCGTTATGTATCCTGCCGAAAGAAAAGGTGTGGCACTTATACGTCGATGTCATTGTGCTGATGCACGGAGGCAATCTTCACGATTCAATAAGCTTGGCGGTACGCGCAGCCCTCTCAGCCACGAGGTATTTAAATTACGTCTCAAATATGAAAGTGGATATATGTGATAACATATTCACGTCAGCTACATTATGATTTGTTGTCACCCTTGTGTGCTAGAAATAGTCAACTGCCGTAAACTGATTTTATATATTAGAGATTATTATTTCGTACTACGCGTGTCCATTGTATCGAAATTGTTGGAGTTTCAAATTTAACTTGTTGGCTGTTTCTATTGGATATTCAGCAATATTGTTAGGATGTATATAGAACTATAAGCGATGAATTGTCAAGTAGTCAATTCTAAATACTATGCGCTCGCTTTCTACCACAGGACGCACGAAGGGTGTCTTCAACCGCAGACTAAAATTGTTTCAATATTCGTGCTTCCCACCACACCTGTTTTTTTTTCTTTGCTAAACTCTTTGATCGATCTTAATATGTATGCGTGTGTATTCGTTCACAGTATACCGCGTGTGACTGTCAGCGACAATGACGGTGTACAGGAAATGGAAGTTTCTGACGATCCCAACGAGTGCGATATGGTAGATATAACGAATATTCCTATTTGGATAACACTCACCAAGGTAATTATATGTGAAGCGCAATGTACTGTGGATTGCAATACTTACTCGGTCATGGAACTATAGTTATGCACCGTCAGTGTTCAACCGTTATGTGTATTCCAGTGTGTTTTTCTCCTGTGTACAGGTGTCGAGAGAGTTTCAATTCTGACTGATTTAGTTTACATTGCAGGTGGGACAGAACTATCAACCGTTATGTGTATTCCAGTGTGTTTTTCTCCTGTGTACAGATGTTTCGAGTTCAGTTCTGAATGATTCAGTTTACATCGCAGGTGGGACAGAACCATGTAGTCGACGCTACCCTGGAGGAGGAGGCGTGCACTATGGCGAAAGTGATGATTGGGATAAATCAGAACGGGAGTGTATGTGCTATACAACAAAGTGGTGCCGGCAGCTTTGACCCTAGTGCTATGCAGGGAATGATCGAGGTGAGTATAACCGTTTAGACAAGCACTGCATGTGTCATGGGTTTTATACACAGTCTTTTAAAAATGTTTCATGTTTCAAGTGTCCATTCTCATCGAAGGTGTTCCCAGGTGTATATTGGCAGAGGTTATAAATTCTTTCACTCGTGTGTATACGTCGCAGCTAATTAGCTACACAACAGAGGCAAACAGAGTTGATTGTATCTCAATTTCGAGAACAATGGACACAAGTGCTGCGCATATTGAATAGTTGTGCGGTCTGTGAGATGTTGCGGTATTTAACGGATTATTTTTGCCACGGCCGGCTTGCAATGAACGTGTGTCAGTTCTATCCCATGTTTTTATGACTTGTGAGGTGTAATCACTTCCCAATCGTGCACATACATACGAAATCAGAGCGAAAGTCGCAGCGCTTAATATGTACGTGGCAATTGTGCTCTGTTTTTAGGCAATAAGTGGCACAATTTTCCGATTAGACAAATAATAGTCGGTCTAAAGCACCAATCTATTTTTGAAAGGATTCATAGCAAGGTGAGCTTTTGCATGGAGTCGTGTATATAGTAAGCTTTTTTGCCTACAAAATTGACCAGTGTTTGTTTTGCATTGTGAAATAGCAGACTCTCTACTAGAGCGAATTTGATCTATTTATGAGTCAAGCGCCTATAGTGCTGTCATCTTGAAAATGTTTCCCATCTTGAACACGTTGCGCAATAGCACCCTCAGCTGTTTTACTTTACTGATACAAAATTGAGTACATATTCCACATTCCCAACTTCATTTCAAAGGAATGTTCAATGTTTTATATATATTAAAACACATACAGTGTTTTATAATATTATGAGTAGTATTAAAAATAAAAACATCCTAACATTCTAGTTTGATCTTTGCAGTCCGGTTGCAGGATAGGCAGTAAATTACTACACAGCATGGACAACCTGTTGCAAGTACAAGCAGACGTGGCCTACCCTAAACTCGGCTTCTTGTCGACAGGCAATTAATATAAAATCATTAATAAATATAGTAAAATAGTTTTATTTATAATGGTGCAGGAAAAACAATCAGTTTCAAATGCCTCGTTTTGGTAAAAACAACATTGAACAAATTTGTATGTTTTTAATTGTTATATTCCTTTGTTAATATTATATATTTAAAAACAATAACATAATAGAGTACTGTATGACTGGATGTATATGTTGGGAACTTGGGCAGTTGTTGGGTAGTTGTTGGGTTAATATAATATTTACACAAATATTTTTCAAGGCTTTCCGATTCCGAAGTCCGAAGTCTATGTATTTACTTTGTACAGTCGTACAGAAGTGTACGAAGTATTCTATTTTTAGCAGAGAACATTATTATTCACATTATTTTGCTTTTTGTACCAATCCATCGCGGCGTCGAATTTGCGTTATGTTGTGCAGCAATGTTGATTGGATATAAAGCGCCAGTGCTCTGGCTTTTCTTTCGGGCTAAATAGTCGAAATTCTGATCGTGTTTTTCACGTCATGCGATTCGCTCATTATATTTCTCACAAAAAGCACAGATAAATAAACACACTCGGCCACACGCAATCTTTGAAAAAAGAACAGTATATTGTAGGCTACAATAAGAATATAACTCACTCACAGTCACAGTCTGAACTCTGAAGTTCGCTGAACAGAGTCAACAGACTGTGTATTGTATTTACAATTTTACACTCACCTACTACTAGTCCGAGTTTGTACTACACAGAAATACACAGTTTACAGACATGAGTAAGTAGTATTTGGTTAATCACTGTTCAGTTTGACCACTAACCAATCACCAGTCACCAGTCACCACACGACTGACCGACTGTCTGATACACACAGTCACACACATGTGTGTCAGTCACAGTCGGTGACTCGGTGTGTATTTAACTGTGTATTCATTCAATGTATATTTGTTTAAAAAAATTAAAAACCCCTCCGGATTTGTTCTATCAGGCTATGGGTTTCTAAATTTGCTTTGGTTTTGGTTTTGGTTGCTACTAGTCCGAGTCTGTCCTAAACAGAAATACACAGTTTACAGACATGAGTAAGTAGTATTTAGTTAATCACTGATCAGTTTGACCACTAACCAATCACCAGTCACCAGTCACCAAACGACTGACCGACTGTCTGGTACACACAGTCACACACACAAGTGTCAGCCACAGTCGGGGATTCGGTGTGTATTTAACTGTGTATTCATTCAATGTATATTTGTTTAAAAAAATTAAAAACCCCTCCGGATTTGTTCTATCAGGCTATGGGTTTCTAAAAACAAATTGGTTTTGGTTTTGGTTGCTACTAGTCCGAGTCTGTCCTAACAGAAATACACAGTTTACAGACATGAGTAAGTAGTATTTAGTTAATCACTGATATGGAGATATTATGATTTTGGTTTTGGGTTAAAAAACAAAAACAAAAAACAAAATGTTTGAGAAAAAAAAATACAACGAACACTATTTATTTTATAAAAGTTTTTACTCACCAGTGTTCGATTTTTTAGTACAAATATCGTATATTTATCCGTGCCAAATATGATGGTGGATTTCGTGCCGTGCCAGTCTGCCAGAGACTGCCACTCGCCAACCAGTGCCACTGATGACTCCTCCTGAGGTCCTGACTCCTGTCACTGTGCGGTGTGTACAACGATATACGACGACAACCAACGACAATAAAATACGACACTCATGACTCCACTCTCGAGTCTCAATTTCAACACTAACGTCGCGGTAACGCCTCTACAATGGAGTCGGTACAAATATAGATAATTTAATGCTAAAAAAGATACTCTGTATTATTTGGGTACATATCCGATATCGGTCAGACGAAGTCATAATCATTAAAAGTCACCACTCGAAATTGGTGATTTATTTTTAAACATTTCCACAATGCCCTATTTTTGTGTCCAATGAGTGCGAAGAAACGAAGTTGTGCAGCACACCTCTGGCTCCGCTCCACCAGCATGATCTGCTATTTCCGGAAAAAAGAAAAAAAGTAGATGCTCTGACATTTGACAATGTGGCCAGTTGGCCACTGGCTCTGTAGTAGTAGATTGGCACCCTGTTGAATCAGGAGATAATATTTAGTAAAAAATCGCTGTGGTGGTAGTCACTCTGTATATATATATCGCAATCACTTGTGCAGTTTTAATCATTGTCAAAAACAAAGGTTTTATTACAATTCTACTAAAAACAAAATGGCTAAGGATGCTTATCTCAAGAATACACTCTCTAGAATGCCCTTTTCACAACGAATGAAGTATGAGCAGGAATGGACAAGGCGTGGATATATCACCCCAAAAGTCAATGATATGTATCCAGCCTATCGTGCTCAAAACAATTTTTCACTGACGGACGAATATGAAGCTACACAGATTCGTACGACCGACGGTCCTGGTATTTACACTTATCGTTCCCAAAGTATGAGCTGCGGAAACGAATCGGATAGTTCGTTTACTATGTTCGAGATGGAGTGAATGTGTTGAATCTTTGACCTACTTCCTGGGCCATGTATCGAGTCGACGCTGGAGATAAACCCCTGCTGGTGCCCGGAGTTGTATCTGAATACGGTCCTGAGGGCGTTTGAGCTCCATCTACTCATTTCTACACGTGGAATGCTGTTTGCTGCTTCTTGCTTCTTGCTGTACAAGCAGCACACGCACCATTTCAACCCACATGTCTCGTAGGCAATGTTCCTACAATATACGTGGTCTCTTCGCGCCTCCACAGTGCGCCTTTGCAGCTTAAAGATCAAGGGCTAGTATGGGTGTTTTATGCAAATCTCTGAACGGTTATGACACATTTTATTGAGCATCTGTTTTTAAGGCAACATCTGGTTAAGTTTTTCAGGCTATTAGAGAAAGCCTGCTTGAGGCACTGCCATACCAACACTCATCAGACACAGTTACGGCAATGTTGGCAACAAAATATGGCGCTGGTCGCAGCGCTTTAAATAAAAGTGAAATCGGAGTTCAAAACTCCCAAAATACTTCGAGAGGTTTATGGTTTCAGGT